AGCGGGGGGAAGAAAAAAAGATTCGGCTTTGCAAGCAAGCTTGCTTCATGGGGCAAGTATTATACCAGCATATATTGCTCAGCATTATAAAAACAAATCCTTTTTAATTAGAAAACTGAAGAAACTGTTTCTTCACGATCTGAAATCACATTGCTACATTTTGCTCATGAGAACAAAGTTTACAGTCGTAAGTTGCACATAAAGGGTTTATTTTAAATGTTTTAAGGATAGAGTTACATCATAATTATAAAAATTACTTACAGAATTAAGTAACAGATTTAAAGTGTTTATACTTCTAAATGCAGAGAACAGGGAACTGTCTACATTGTTCAAAATAAAATAAAAATAATGAAACCAAGCTCTAAAGATGAAGTCATTACCTAATTTAAAAATGTGAACACGAAGACCTTTGAACTATACACATACCAAGAACCATCCAAATTGCACTAATGATGTAAAATACAAAAAGCACAGCATTTTCAAGGAACCAGAAACTGTTTTCACCGTAATTCTTTTCCCCTGAAGCAACTAGTCAATTCTATCTGAAAATAAAGCCTCCGTTCTTAAATAATTCACTTAAAGGAGGCTTCTAGCTATTGGAAAAACAAAAAAAACCCCAAAACCAACCAACTCAAAAACCAAAAAACCAAAAAAACACAACAGAAAAAACAACCCAAAAAGGGTTTTCCCCACAGTCTACTCCAACAGTGTTTAGGGTTTGGCACTCAAAAGAAAGAAGAAAAATGTAGTGTTTTGTTAATCAACTGCAATTTTATTTTTTCTTTAACAGAATACTTGGTCCCTTCAAATGCTGTATGACACATACAACTGGAAAATTACCTTCCGTTGGCACTATGCTTGTCTCACCGGTGCATTTAATCCTACTAACAACCATTAAAACAGCACAATAAGCAAATTCACAAAAAACTGAACACAAAATAAAAACAGAACAAAACAAAAACCTAAACATTTTAACATGCAACTTTAGTTTGTTACATTGAATGTTCTAACCCTCTAAGCATGCAAAAAAGGATGGTCTGCATTTAATTTTTTTTTTTTCCCTTTTAAAAAGTTTTACATGGCAGCCTGACGTCACACACACGCACACACACAATATACAACAATACTACAGCAGGTAAATGTGAAAGGCGAGTAACTTTTATACAAAGATCCATGGCTTGTGCCATCACAAGCCCTATGTGGTTTTGGAAAGTAATGTTGAACCCCTATAACAAGGAACCAACATTTAGTTACCAGGGTAACGCAAGCACTGCATGCAGATCTGAAACATGAGCCTAAAACAAAGCCCAAAGCAGATGGGCAGGGAGTGGAATTAGTCTCAAGCCTCAAAAAAGGTGGTTTAAGCTATTAAAAAAAAAGAAAAAAAAAAAAGAAAAAAAGGAAAAAAAAAAAAAGAGGCAAAATAAAAAATGAAACGAAATACCCACACAACAGACAATGGGGACATCCAAAAACAACCATTAAATTTACAGTTTATAGATTATGCTCTAATTGGCAGAATACATGGTGTAACCAAGAGGCTTGCAGAAAACCCACAAATGCAAGCCTAATGATAAAAATGTTCCAGTAGACCTAAACCTCAGGTATTTCAAAACAAACCTTTTATTCCTCAGATATATAGCCCAAAGTTCAGTGTACTAGGTTATTCATGTATCTTGTGTATAATCAATACACTCACTCATTCTTGTGCCACAGGTATCAACTTGGGCTCATGGAGCCAGGCTCAGCTTTGAGATTTACATGCAGGACTCTTAAGAGTCAATAGAAAACACATAACAGATCTGCAGGATGAAAACATTGTGTTGCAAATCTGCTCACTTTGTTCAAAACGCAAGGAACATTTACGACTCGGGTACCTAGTGCTTAAGGACTGCATTGAGAAGCTATTCACTGAAAGACAACAGCCTGCCTTTGGTTGCCAATGATGAAATACTGGACATATGCAATATAGTAGCAATGGACAAAGAATTAAAGTATCATATTTATATGGAGAGTATTTATTACCATTCAACAGCATAATGAGGCACAAGCCTTAAGGCTAAAATATGAAATCAGGCAAAAAAATTGACAGAAAGGGGCTTAAACCACTGAATCTTCAGTAACAAGAATACCCACAACAGAGGTCACTGGGACCTCTGATCTCTGATTAACAGCACCTCTCCTGCAACCTTCCACTAACTGCATATGGTTGGATATCAGAGTATTTGTTCCTTCCATCAATAGTGTTGACTATCTTCACATACTGTATTTCTGTGAAGCAGTTCTTTGAAACTTGCAGAGCTCTGCCTTAATGTAACATGACGATTTTGTTGCTGTGCCGATTCTTGTTGCAATTCTGATACTTTTAAAGACTGCCACACTTAAAAACCTTCACTTTTCATTTACAACTAACTTGCAAGATCAAAACCGTGACAGGATTTTGCTGTTGTGGGCTGCTATTTACATCCACAATCTAATGCAGATGACTGAACCACTGAGACTGCCTATAGCTTCCATTAGATAGTACACCACTGGCATGCAGAACTCTAGTGTTCATAGAATGAAATTCACGTTAACAGCATACCTCAAAGCAAGTACAATGTACACCACAAAAGGCAACAACAGGTTTAAGCTGTAGATTTGTCCAGACACTCCTTATGTGGAAAAGTCAGAAAAAGAATGAACTGGGAAGATGCCTTCTTGAACCAAAACGGTTTAGAACAAAACAAAGGAATACAACAGACTGAGCAGAAGGCAACGAATGCTTCTCCTTCTCTAAAGTAAGTCTTCAACGTGAAATGACACCCCCTCCCAACTCCCCTGGCATGAGATTGTATTTATTTTTTTAGCTACTGTTAGGCTTCTAAGTCCACACATAAACATTCAGGTTGCTAGGTTTTGATATTAAATGAGAGACTACTGATTGCCAATGCGTAGTCTAAAGTGTTCGGAAGTAGCATATATACTGTTAAAGTTGTGGCACCAAGCACTTGGGTTTTGCTAAGAAGTGTGTGTAACAAAGAAAGAAAGTAGTACAACATTTAGGACTGAAGGCAGCCTTGTGGCATGTATTTTACTGGTTCCTACAACTTGTCAATATGGGCCATTAACCTTCATTTTCTGATTAACTGATTATACAGATTAAATGCATTTTTATAGTTTAAAGCCTTTTCACTGAAAGGTGCATTAAGTCAAACACCTACTGCCCTATGACTAGTAAAAATGCGCAAGTATTTCTACGTACTGCAAGTTCTTGAAAAGCTAAATTTGAAACAAAGTGTAGAAACACAGCAGATTGATGTTACTTGGGTTAGGCACTCCTCAACGCTGAATAAACTGTTGAAACCTTTCAGAAAAGTCACCTCTGTCCCAACCCTGAAAACAAGGACTGCCAGTAGCCAAGAAATTAAATTTAATGTTACAAAAGAAGGCATATCAAAATATCAAACTATACTTGCATGTGGCAGTTGAACAAGTGAGTGCAAGGTTGAAGAAAAAAGTTAAAATCTATGAAAAAATTTAGATTAATGGTTACAATACTAGATCAACTTTACACAGCTTGAATTTGCAGCTGTTCTTTGCTTTTAACTCCCTCCTGCCCAAATATATTGACTTCCTTCAAGAAAAGGAGCTCTCTTACACAAAATGTCACGTTTGTTTATATTATTCAGAACAAAACAGTTTTGCTGGCAGAGATTGTGGGTTCGCAGGGACATTTAAGCTTTCATTAAACTGGAAAGCAGTCAAGTCTTTGTGTCTACAAATTTTACATTTAATAGTTCCACAAATTTGGCAAAAGTTCATGATGACGTCTAGGATGTCTTCACCAAATCGTAGACATAAATATGGAAATCATCATCAAACTTGATGAAATAGACAGATGGTTTGGCTTCAACTTGATGAATGACCATGCCAGTCCTTTTTGAGCCATCTTCTTTGGCATATTCCACTTGTTTGCCTACCAGGCTGTCCACAACTTCACCTGGTTCCCGTTCTGCAGGAGGTGAATCATCTGTAACACAAAAACAGCGTACTTTGGTAGACATTAATGGAATTTTTCAATATGGAAAACTACTGCAGAGTGTCCTTTAAAACTCACATGGAACTACCAGAATTTTTAAATACAGCGTACACAGAAAGTTAGTTTTGTTCAGGCAAGTATCTAATGATTGGCATGCTTCTAGGAAGTGCAGTTGCAGATCAACTTTTGAGTAAAACTGTCTTCTTTTTTTTTGAGACAAAAATGGCACTCTGGTTGCTAAGAGAAGTAAATCCTTTGACATGAAGGTTTATGCACACACTATAGAAAATGTCTGTGGATAATTAATTTAAGCCACGACCAGAAACAGGCACTGGGCCTCCTTAGCAGAAAGGCAGCCAAACTGAATCTACCTCTTCCCACATGCATTATTCAATGTTTCAATGCGTGCACACCACTGCAACAAAAACATCTCTACTAAAATGCAAGTGCAAACTCCTCATGAAAAGGGGCTTTTGACTCCACACGGGAATAGTGCTGTTGGTAAAGTCTAACCATGTTATTTTCTTCTCTAGCAAAACCTACCCAGAAATATCCTTGTATTTTAGATGATGCCTATGCCAGATTTGGATACAAAATGCATGATTTGTCACATGCTAATTGCCAAGCGGTTGGTTACAAGCCGATCACAAAACAAACATGACAGTAGTTAAAAGCACTGTACTGGAGAACTGGAAGCCAGCCACAACGTATTTTCTCAGTCTGTCTTCTTTTTGACCAGTTTAGATAAACCTGTGTTTTGTATTCCAGTGAGGAAACTTCCTAGTAATGCTCACACCTGATGTAGCTTTTTATTATGGAAATCATAAGCTTTCAAATTAATGTTTTTGTTCCAAGTTCGCATTTAAGTATCCCGTACAGATTTCACCCATTTTCTTTTCAGTTCTGAGCGCTGTGAAAGAACTCCCAAAGCACCAGGGAATTAACAGACTGGTTTGCACTTACACTCAAGAAGTTTCTCTTTCAACTTTTGTTTCAGTTTATCTGTAAATGCACTATCACACACAGTTAGTATCTTCTTAATACCAGTTTTATGTAAAGAATCTTCCTTGGCAAAGATGCAAGTTAAACTCTTACATTTGCATTTAGAAGGAATTACAAAGTGTTGACAAAGTTTTAGTATCAGATCCAGCAATACATTTTCCCATCACGAAGAAACATTTTAGAGAAATTACCCACATTTTGGTCTCATCACATATGCGAAACCTGTCTTTGAGAATAAAGTGCTCCCTAGAAATTTAAGTTGTAACTACTGTGGCAAGTTCCACCAAATTTATAGATGTATTTCCCACGTAGTCTAAAACCTGATTTGAAAAATACCACTGTTAACACCCAATCATTGACTTCAGGACACAATTCAAAAGATCTGGAAAGCCTTCAGATTCAGGGAAGGTGGCAAATACTTGAAGTGTTTCCGAAACAGGTAAGCAGTAAACAGTCTTATGGAGAGCATGAATGAAAAAGCGAACTAAAGCCAATTCAATCTTAAATGGAAGGAA